CCTTGCAAAATATGAAAAAATAAAATAAAAAAATTACCACTCTAATTTTAAGAAGCATTTACAAGAACAAATTTTTAACAAATCATCACATTAATTTTGAAAACATCTATTAGAACAAAACACACTTTTTTTTTTCGAAAAAAAATAGAAGAAGAATGTTATATTTGACAGAACCTCACCTCACTATCAATAAAATGGTTCTCAAAATCAAATTTACAACGAAAAAAGAAAAGAAAAAGAATTAAAATCTAATGATTTTTCTTTATATTATATATAAAAAAATGGAAGAATAACAAAAAATGGTGGGAGGGGAAGCAAAAATGACGGAAGTAAGGTTGATGGAATGGTGGCGAGGTGATGTAAGGTGGGGGTGGGAGTGGTAGACAATAGGTAATTTTATTTATTTATTTAGCAGCTTAAATTCAATCCTCAGGATTTAGAGCTGAAAATAAAGGAGATAGTAAAATCGACTTAGTTCCTTGTTTTAACTTTAACAACTGCACAATTAAACAAATCTTCCAATGTTCTGATGTTACCGAAGCACTTAAACTGAACATCAAAAAGCATGAGACTGTATCCTCAACAAAATGAATACAAAGGAGGCACCCCCAACTGAAAATGAGACTGTATCCTCACCTTTCAAATATCAAAAGAGAATACGAGGGAATACCATAGCAAAAGAATATTTGCACATTTAGTATAATCAACATGGAAAAGATTGAGAAGGCAAATGTCATTAAGAAGTAATTTGATAGGAAAAAATTATCTTAGAAAATAATAATTGAGCATAAGAGGAAACTAACCAAAATTGATTATAATGCTGAAGTACTTGGTAGCCTCAGCAACATGCTTAAAAAGTGCCAAAAAACCTATCAGAAAACTCAGCACCAATCCTGCACCTTTAGCCTGCCAATTGATCAACATTTAAACAGTAAGTTTCAAGGGAGAACTTCATGGTGACAGATACCAACAACCATAGCGCCTTAGCTCAAATTCCCAAAAAAACACTTGTTTGAATACCTGAGAGAAGTGCAAAGACCTCCTTGGATGGTTGCATAATTGACCTTCTTCACTTGAAGATGGAAAGCTAAATGTTCACCAATTTCTTATGCATTCTCCTGCCCAAAAAAATTGCAGCATTAGGAAGTAGTTTGATAGAAAAAACTGATCTTAGAAAATAGTAATTGAGCATAACCTGAAACAAACAAAAACTGACTATAATGCTGAAATATTTGGTAGGCCCTGCAATGTGCTTAAATAAGTGCCAAAGAACATGTCTGAAAACTCAACACCGATCATACACCCTTAGCCTGCACATTGATCAACATTTAAACAGTAAGTTTCAAGGGAGAGCTTCATGGTCGAAGGATGCGGACAACCATAGCGCCTTAGTTCAAATTCCACAATAAGATCACTTGTTTGAATACATGTCAGGTCATAGGCAAAATAGAGATGTAGAAATTAGCTTGTTTCTAAATATATAGAAGTACCAATCTTTCAAGGAGGTCAAAAACAAAGTGCCAAACAAATAGGGACAGAGGGCATTATCATTTATAGGCATTAATTCCACCCGGGTTATTGATAGACTCAAGTGCAAGTTGACTTAAGCCCCTTACTGATTTTTCAATTGAAAATGGAGAATTTGGAGTACAAGTAGCTCCAATGCGACAAGGAATCAGGTCACAACAAGGAAAATTGGAAACAGCCTATCCACAACAGGCTTAATCCAGCGTTAGTCAGTTCCTAGAATTCTTTACTAAGTGAGAGAGGCAGAGAAAATAAAAGGAGAAATGAAGGTGAATTTAACAACAGAGGAACACATCGTGTCTTCAGAAAAAGTTAATCTTGAGACAAAGTTAAAGCTAACATGTGTAACAATTGGAATAGAACTGTGAAGCAGTTTTTCCCAATTGAAAACTGTAAGGATATCACTACCATGTGATGATAGAAATGGACATCTGCCCCAATAGGAAACACGCTTATCAAAGAGTTGAATTCAATTTATTTACAAAATCAATTCTGGTATAGCCCCCAACCTGTTCGCATCCCTGTCAGAGGAGAACCAATCCTCTTTTTCTATGATAACTTCATTTACAGTATCATTTAAAAGAGCATTTTACTGTAAGGAGCCAGGAAAAGAAACACACTAAGCATTTCTAGATAGTGCTGCATGAGAGATTAGGGTGATCATCATTATGAAGAGGCTACATACCATTCTTAAAAATAACACAAACCTAGACCAACTAAAACAACAAACTCAATTACCCAAAACAGAACATAGAAGGCACTAACAGGAGATAGGTGAACATAGATGTTTGGAATAATGCTTACCCTACATGCAAGTTGACTCGCACGAAGACCTTCCAGAGATTTAGTTAGTAGCCAGGATGGACTCGAGTATTTCAAACAAGGCACTGCACAAGGAGATTAAGGAAGATATAAATTGTTCCAGGACTGTGCTAGAGTTTATGATAGAGTGTAGGCACCAGTAATTTCTGATTCACCTATTTCCTCTTCTTCCTTTTCAGTCACCGTGATGTTCTCCATGCTCTCCACTTTCTGTTGATGGCTTTGAGCATTTTTGGCAGTAAGTTCTTGTTCCTTCCCTTCAATGTCGAATTTATTCAACTATTCTTCAAACTCCTCAATGCATGATTTGAGTTCAGGTTTAGCAAACTTCTTCCCCTAAATGAAGACATTCAAATAGGCAGAGCTCACTTGGTTTCTTCAAGCACGTTCATGAAGGATACTTTCCCCTGCCAGAAATTGCATTTTCAGCTCTTGACCTCTTTTTGCCTCAAGTTCACTTAGTTTCTACTTCTATATAAGTGTGTGCGCGGTATGGGTCAGAATTTGATATCTGAGAGTGTTCTCAATAGAGTCAACATCAAAACCCACAAACAGTACATCTTTGTCATTTCATTTGTTATCTATTGATTCGAAGAAAATAAGTCTCATATATTATCAGTGATATTAATATGACGGAGAAAAATCAGACCCGTCCAAGACAAGCTTCAAGTGATGCACAAGCGAAGATATGTGTCCAGTAATCTGCAAAATGGAAATGAAGAAAAAAGGAAAAGAGTTACGGGAAACAAGCAATCAAATAGAAACAATGAAAGTTAGAAGCATTCCCTTAGTCCGTTTTACACCAACCTGCACACAAGCTATCAATCTTGTAAGAGTTTTGATTGCACCACGTCTTACTTCATCTAATGTCCCTGCACATTAAGGTGAGACCACTTCCATCAACATCAAAGTGATACTAACCAAGGCCACCAGAAACAACCAAGGAAGACTAAACACAAAAAACTTCAAGGGTGTGGAGAATAAGAATAACATATGTTTAGTCATTAAACCTCTCCCGCATCAGTAAGAACTTGAATACAACAGGGAAGTATATCAGGAAGATACTTTCGAAATTCATCTTTGAGTGCCAAGCAAAGTTTCTCCACGAGCTGCAGAATCTAAAATAACAAAAGAAAACGACCAGTAAGATCATTAACCAAATCATCTGATTATAATGACCTAAACCAAAAGTATGTAGGTCATTAATACCAACTGAAACTACTACTTACAAGAGCAATGTGAATAGGTCTGTTAGCAACAGCCAAGCTGAACAATGACCATAATTCTGATAGCAGAGAGAGAAACTCTGGCAGATATTTACGGATGTGCTACAAACAAAAGATCATTTAACAGACCTTAAGAAAATAACCAATCCAAAAGAACAACAAGACAGACAATACAATTAAAACGAAATATTACTTGTCGTGCAATAGATACCAAGGTTCCAAGTTTCCATGTTATAAATTCCTTTAGACCATCCTCACATATGCGTACAATGTCAAAGAGATCAGGCAAAACCTACAGAAAAATAAAAGATACAATCATATATAAACATCTCTGATAAAATCATCCACAACTAATGTTTGGGAAAAGAAGGGTATACTAATAACAAACAATAAAATTCACTATGTTCTACTTAAGTTCTCAACTTCCCCGTGTCATTGGCTGGATGTCCCCTACTTTTGTAAGTTAAGAAAGTAAAAATCTGATATATCTTTATTCAGCTCAGGTTTTTTTTCTCTCACCTTTGCTTTGTAAAAAGGGTGCAAATGGGAGGGTCTGTCGGGCGTGGACAACCAGGTGAACTGTTTGTGACATGCCCAACTGAGTCTCCAGACCTTGAAAATAAACATAAGAGATCCAACCACTTTCTGGTGGCAACTTGACAGAGATGGATCCCTGAGAATCCACATGAGTGAGTTGATAGCAACCTGCAGCAGTAGATGCCAGTTAGGAAATCCATCAAAGGAAATAATAAGTTGAAGGTTTAAGTTTCACAGTGGAATAATAATCCTCAGATGTTGCAATGGATGGCCAGAGATCCGTAGGCAATTCATCCATTGATCTTATATGTTGACCAGGATCACCAGTCACCCGTGTAACTTCACCATGGATCCAGGTAAGCTTTGTTGATTACGCTTATGCACATGGGGATCTAAAGCACCCATGATGCCAAGAACCTGCAAAATTCATCCTCAATGAACTTAAGTACTGACTAATCCAAAGAAAATATATATATATTGGACCAACAGGATTGCAGTTACCTTCAAAACCTCTCTTCTTGTTGACTAAGCCAGTTCACCATTGAGCAGTTTCATGAGAAACCCAAGCAACTGAGGATACTCATTGTATGGAGTAATAACATATCTATGAACATTACAAACAACAAATTTGTCAAACAAGATTTTACATAATTTAAAGCTAAATTGGTGCACCGAAGCCATGAATAGTGTGGTGAAGCATAGCAGCAAAAATGATAAATTTGAAAATACAGATAGCACACCACAGTCCAAAGGAAAGGAAAAGTAAGTATGCCGCACAAACAAAACAATATTAGAAATGATCCCCAATCGTAGATTATCTAGGAACCAAAACAAATAGTAAGTAAATGACTGATTAGGAATGATAAAATCAAAGGTTGAAGAAACCACTCACCCTGTACTCAGTACAACTTGACCAAATGTTGAAACATCCAATTCATATTTGGTAATGGCAACCCAATCCAGTAGAGCTTCAACAATTAATGGCATAAGTTCTGAAATATACTGCCGCATGGAAAAGCCGCCCTAAAGAGAGTAAGAGAGATGAAAAACGAGGATCAGTGTTCTCAACTATCCACAAGAACTATCTACATGCATAGAAACAATTGTCCATCATCTTGGAACTTATGATTCAAAATCAAAATATCTGATATAGAGAGCTGCAGGAATTTAGAGTGACATAAGCTTCCATTGATATTATTTAAGCTGCAACACAATTCTTGACTATAACAAAAACAGAGGGCATACAAAAGACACCAAGATGCAGATGAAAGATCACAGGGAAAGACCAAACTATAAAGATCAAGAAACACTATATTTGTCTCAATTTGCTTGGCACAGTTTGGATGGACGCGGACACACGGTTCAAAAAAGAAATGGGTATACCTTTTGACACATAAGATAGTTGTGCTTTAATGCCAGAAGTTTTTCGTTGACCAAATAATTTCCTTTTTTATTTAGTACAGATAGTCTCATCACAACACATTGTTTTTTAAATGTAGTGGGACATACATGTCAAGTCATAGGCAAAATAGAGATGTATAAATTAGCTTGTTTCAAAATATATAGATGTACCAATCTTTCAAGGAGGTCAAAAACAAAGTGCCAAACAAATAGGGACAGAGGGCATTATCATTTACAGGCATTAATTCCACCCAGGCTATCGGTAGACTCAGGTGCAAGTTGACTTAAGCCCCTTACTGATTTTTCAATTGAAAATGGAGACAATTTGGAGTACAAGTAGCTCCAATGCGACAAGGAACCAGGTCACAACAAGGACAACTGGAAACAGCCTATCCACCACAGGCTTAATCCAGCTTTAGTCGGTTCCTAGAATTCTTTACTAAGTGAGAGAGGCTGAGAAAATAAAAGGAGAAATGAAGGTGAATTTAACAACAGAGGGTCACATCATGTCCTCAGAAAAAGTTAAATCTTGAGACAAAGTTAAAGCTAACACATATAATAACTGGAAAAGAACTGTGAAGCAGTTTTTTCCAATTGAAAACTGTAAGGCCGTCTTTTTTATGAAAGAACTGTTAAGCACCTTAAAATAGGAAGCTTTCACTTAATAATCGAGTCAGATACCAATAACAAATGAAACTATTATAATAACCAAAATGTTAACCTCTGCACACCAACTAGAACAATTAGCTAGCTGAAAGAAATACAACAAAATTAACAGACTCAATAAAAAAAAGGTCAAATACCAACAAAATTAAATGCAATTAGATGTAAATCTTAGCTCACAGTGATTGGGATTATATAAGAAAAGATTAGGATAAATAAGTCCACATTGAGTATAGGCTATATCTACATAATATCTGAATTATATCACTATCATGTGATGATAGAAATGCAGGGAGACAAATAATCTGGACATCTACCCCAATAGGAAACACGCCTATCAAAGAGTTGAAGTCAATTTATTTACAAGATCAATTTTGGTATAGCCCCCAACCTGTTCGCATCCCTGTCAGAGGAGAACCAATCCTCTTTTTCTACGATAACTTCATTTCTCCAACCAAACTCAATCAAGACCAACCGGGCAAGTTCTAGGTGACAAAAGCGAACACAAGGCATTATTCAACAACTCAGCTCACATGGCCTGCAAATCAATTAAGATGGTTCAAAATCTGACTTCCTTTTCAAAATACAAGTAGAATTGAACATTTTAACCGCTAACGAATCAAAAGTCACAAAAAGAGTTGTAGGAGTTATCACAAAATCATTCATAACATGCTCAACCTTTTAAAAACGGAGAGGTATGCTCAATTCTATTCACATGCATGACTCTTAGTACCAACTAAGTCAAAACCTTCCCAAAAAGACGATGATTTCTCGCCCTTAAGAAAGTTGTCAACCAATTCATCATCAGCCAACCTCATGCATCATTCAGGAACGGCTACTCAGACTTCGCCACAATCAACGCCAATCAAACACTCACAAGCAATCGACAATTTAACCTTTAGAAAGTTGTCACTCTCTATCCATCATCGGGCATCGTCAATCCAAATCTTATTATCAAAAAAAAAATCTACAAACTACAAATCAAAATCTAAAATAGACCAATCCAACACAATATCAACAGAAACATCCACAATATCAAATCCCGACAAGGACACACCAATCCATAACAAAGAAAGAAAGTACACCCGACAAGAGCATAATCACAGTATGCAGAAACAATCAACAAAATGAGTACAAGGGAGGCACCCCCAACTAACCGTCCAAATATCAAAAGAGAATACAAGGGACTACCAAAGCAAAAGAATATTTGCACAACTATAATCAACAGGGAAATGATTGAGAAGGCAAATGTCATTAGGAAATAGTTTGATAGGAAAAAATGATCTTAGAAAATTGTAATTGAGCATAAGATGAAACTAACCAAAACTGACTATAATGATGAAGTACTTGGTAGCCTCAATAACATGCTCTAGGAGTGCTAAAGAAGCAGAAAACTCAACATCAATCCTGCACCCATAGCCTGCAAATTGATCAACATTTAAACAGAAAGTTTCAAGGGAGAGCTCCATGGTGGAAGTATACCAACAACCATAGTGCCTTAGTTCAAATTCCCAAAATAATCACTTGTTTGAATACATTAGAGAAGTGCAAAGACCTCCCTTCTTCACGCCTTGATGGGAAGATATTATTCAGCAATTTTTTATGTGTGTTCTCCTGCAAAATATTGAAATTATTTAGTTAGAACACTGTGATGTGCCAGAATTTTATGAACCACCCTAAATTCTCTGCACAATATAAAGATGAAGATGCCAAAGGATATAGAGATTATATAGCATACAAAAGTCATGGCAAGAGCATTTAAACTACAAAATCAAAATCAAACTCTAAAAACAATCATAGAATTCAAGTATGGGAGATATTATTGAACAAGTAATTTTTTCCACTAGTAATCAGAAAGCATTCAACAAAGACCACCCACAATTGCACCTGTCATAAATAAACCAAATTAATTCGCAAAATGTGGAGCACTTACACTGTAACAACAACATAATCAATGTAATCCCAAAAAGTGAGGTTTGAAAAGGGAACGGTGTAAGCAAATCTTACGCATATCTTGGGGTAGAGAAGTAGCATTTACACTACAACAACAACATAGTCAATGTAATCCCAAAAAGTGAGGTTTGAAAAGGGAACGGTGTAAGCAAATCTTACGCATATCTTGGGGTACAGAAATTGTTTTTGATAGAGCCTCTGCTCGGTAATCAAGTGATTATATGATAAAAATAACCCAAGATGCAAACTGCGAAATCAGCCTCGAGGCAAAGCGAACTGTTAGTTCAAATGGTTGCATATGTTACATAGATGCATACTCCTATTGAATACTTTTCTAATTCTGTTTTACACTTCCTCTGAAAAAATTATTTTCTAATCCTGCTCTCAAGGAACCTTCATGATACCACCATCTTCAAGTTCCATAGTCATGTACACGTGCGAAACTTGACACACTAAATGCCAAACAAACAGAAAAATCAAATGCGATGTAGGATTAATGTGAGGCTTTGAACTGTTAGCTTGACTTTCATATCATTTAATTAAGGATACGTTATGCCTCCAGGTTTATCACATTTTCCCTTAGGCTAATTTCTAAATAGAATCCCCCATCACTGTAAGCCTATAGTATGCGATACATTTACTTATTGCATTTATCACCCATAATGTCTATAAGGAGTTTCGGTAGATCAATCATACAAAAAATGGATGTGAATTTATTAGTTTATGCAATATTATATCCTCACATGTATGACAATAGAGTTTAAACGTTATATGACACTCGCTATAGTTGTCACATTCTTAACATTATCACTTGTGTACAACATTATCCAATCACATTTAAATGGTGTTACACAAATGCTCCAGGGCAACGAAAATGACTCGACACTCCTCTTTTTTGTACAAGTTTCATGCTACTGCCACAAGAAAGATGCTGCAAGAGCTATTAGTCCCTTAAAATACATTTCCCCTGATAATAAATCACACAAAAAACAACAAATCCCCTCAACAATAATAAAATTTCCATTGCAATGCCACAAAAGAAATAAAACCAACAAAATTTAGGCACACGAAACACCACAAATTGACTATAATCAACAACATAAAGGTGCATAAATAACCTCCACAATACTAACCTTTGTGAAGTCCTACAGAAGGCCACACATTACAGGAAACCAACAAACTAAAGGCCCAAGGTCACCCTAGGTTTTTATACCCAACTTCTTAATATGGGAAATTAACACGTATATGACCGCACGGATTGTTCTCCCGTAGAGGTCAAAAGAGTTTTCAGTAAAGCCAAACACAGGTTATACAAGGAGATCATTTTATTGCGGTAATTTTGTGGCCAGACTAGTAGGGGTGTCATCTAAGTCTTGGTTTTCTATTTCTACTTCTTCCTCCAATACTTCCTCAAAATTAGAAAACCATCTATTTAAGGTCTCATGGTCTACTTAATATTCAAAATTAAATTCTAAAATAGTGGGACATGAAATAAAAAAAGTTTCATCAACATGAGTATAATCGTCGGTATTAGTTTTAAATCTAGGTTGCAATAAGAACTACTTCCTCCCCCACCCTTACTAGTAGCAACTTTTTTTCCATAAATTGATTTTTTACCACTACTTTTTTTAACAAGATCCATATTTAAAGTTTATAATAATTAAAATATGAAAAACAAACAAGATAAATATAACAAAAAAATATAATAAATAAACAAATATAGAGATGAAAGTTGAAACGAATATATCAAACGTCTAAAACATCTTTGTTCCTCCAAATTGAAGGTCAAAAAAAAATGAAAGAAGTTGGAACATAACAAAAGGCAAGAACTTGCAAAAATTTCCACTGGTAAAATAACTGGAAATGGCAAGCACATCTAACCTCGTCCAAACATATTCAGGATATCATCATGTTGCATTCCTCTTCCATTATCCTATATTAGAAACAAAGTACAATAATTAAAGTCTTTTAGGGAAGAATAATCATTAACTTGCCAAATTGATTTAATTCAACAATGTACTTTTCTTGTCGTGCGTGCTTAGAGCAGAGCCAGCATACAGAAGAACAAAGAGAAAAAAATCATACCTTGCATGTCACCCTATAATATGATGCCTCCCTACCCTTAGCTGCCTTTGTAGCTGCAGGGTCTTTTACTTTTTTCCCAAGAGCAACATTCTTTGCTTGAATCTCTAGAACCCGAGCTTCCTTGGCAAGTCTTTTCTAGACACAGTAGTTAGAAAAATCACAATGCCATCTAATGAAATTTGCTAGAAAAATATTTCACTAATGAAATTTGCTAAATGTCAACCAGTGAGCATAAGATATAAATCACAATGCCATCTAAGTGAGCGTAAATCATTGCTTACACACCTCACGAGCCTTTGCTGTCTCAAAATCATCATATAGGGCTTCATCTCTACGTTCATGGTCAGCCAGACCAATCATGGAATTAAATTTACTTCTGCCTATCTCTTCACTACAGACACAAAACAAAAAACAACACTAAGCTTTGAAGAGAGGTTCCCATTAATGGATCTTTGTTAGCTCATTGAAGTAGTTATCTAAAATAGACAAAATAATCACTTACATGGTTATCTCTACAACTGGAAGTTCAGAGATGGATTCAGCAGAATCAAGTGCATTCTCAACAACTTCTCTCACAGTAGTGTAAAGACATTTCCCAGGCTGAAAATTTGGAAAGACTAACTTGATTAAAAGTGCATTTAGGGTGTGTTTGGTATGAAGGAAAACATTTTCCGAAAAATGTTTTCCAATTTTCTCATGTTTGGTTGGGTTAAATGTTTTGGAAAATGTTTTCCAAATCAACTCATTTTCCTCAAATTTAAGGAAAATGACTTCCCTTCAAAACTTAAGGAAAACATTTTCCAAAACTCTCTTCCAACTTTCAATTAAAAAAAAAATTGTTGAAAACATCAATTTATTTTGTCCCTACCCTCAAACCAACCCCCCGCCCCCCTAAAAAAATAATAATTTAAAGCTTGTTTTTAAATTTAATTTTTTTACCCACCCTCACGCACCTCCTACCCAGCCCCCCACCCCTACCACCCCCCCTACCAAATTTTTTTTTTTTAAGTTTATTTTTAAAAAATATTTTCAATTTCAAAATTTCATTTTTTCACGCTACCCTTGACCCCCCCCCCCACCCACCCCTTACCCAGCCCCCCACCCCCAAAAAAAAATTTAAGATTGTTTTTAAAAATATTTTCAATTTCAAAATTTCATTGTTTCACCCCTACCCTCGACCCCCCACCCACCCCCTACCACCCTCCCCCCAAAAAAAAATTTAAGTTTGTTTTTAAAAAAATATTTTCAATTTCAAAATTTCATTTTTTCACCTTAACTTGACCCCCACTCACGCACCTCCTACCCAGCCCCCCACCCCACCCCACCCCACCCCTACCAGGCCCCCCCCCCAAAAAAAAATTTTAAGTTTGTTTTTAAAAAATATTTTCAATTTCAAACTTTCATTTTTTTCACCCCTACCCTCGACCCCCCACCCACCCACGCCCTACCAGCCCCCAGCCACCCCCCCCCCCTCCAAAAAAAAAAAAAAAAATTTAAGTTTATTTTTAAAAAATATTTTTCAATTTCAAATTTCATTGTTTCACCCCTACCCTCGACCCCCCTCCTCCACCACCACCCCAAAAATAATTTGAAGTTTGTTTTTCAAAAATATTTTCAATTTCAAAATTTCATTTTTTCACCTTACCTTGACCCCCCTCACGCACCTCCTACCCAGCCCCCCACCCCACCCCACCCCTACCAGCCCCCCCCCCCCCCCCCCCCCCCAAAAAAAAAATATTTTAAGTTTGTTTTTAAAAAATATTTTCAATTTCAAATTTTCATATTTTTCACCCCTACCCTCGACCCCCCACCCACCCATCCACGCCCTACCAGCCCCCAGCGCCCCCCCCCCCCCCAAAAAAAAAATAAAAAAAAAATTTAAGTTTGTTTTTAAAAAATATTTTTCAATTTCAAATTTCATTGTTTCACCCCTACCCTCGACCCCCCTCCTCCACCACCACCCAAAAAATAATTTGAAGTTTGTTTTTCAAAAATATTTTCAATTTCAAAATTTCATTTTTTTCACCCCACCCCACCCACCCCCTACCAGCACCCTCCCCCTCACCACCCCCCCAAAAAAAATTTAAGTTTGTTTTTAAAAAAATATTTTTCAACTTCAAAATTTTATTTTTTTCACCCCAACCCTCGACCCCCCCACCCACCCTCTACAGCCCCCCACCCCACCCACCCTCTACCAGCCCTCATCCCCCCAAAAAAAATTTAAGTTTGTTTTTAAAAAATATTTTCAACTTCAAAAATTCAATTTTTCACCCCTACCCTCAACCCAACCCCTACCCCCCCAACCCCACCCCCAAAAAAATTTAAGTTTTTTTTTAAAAAATATTTTCAATTTCAAAAATTATTTTCTACCCTAGTAAAAATAAAAGATATTTCTCAAAAAAAAAAATATCATTCATAAATCAAACACTAAAAATCTTTTCCGAAAAATATTTTCTACTCACCAACCAAACATGAGAAAATAAGTCAAAAATCAACTTGTTTTCCAGGAAAACATTTTCTAGGAAAACATTTTCCTTCATACCAAACACACCCTTAGTGTATCATTGTTGAAGTAAGTTCCACCTCATGAAAATCTTGAGCTATTAAAAAAGGAAGAGCGTATATCATTTAATGCCTTCAACATGCCCTTCAATGTGGTCGATTCTCTTTTGTTGGCTAATAGCAACAATGTGTGACCTTAAAAAGCTCCACCTACTCTACAAGTAACCAGTTCCAAAAGAAAACTCCACCTACTCTACTATCATTTTGAATATAGGAACATCTCTTCAAGAGGGGATATAAGGATTCATTGATGAGTTATCAACAGTCAATTTTATATGCTAACTAGGGGCATATGGAGGTTAATTTTCAACCTTTTCTTTATTAAAGGTACCTAAATTTTACTTATTTTTGAGGTACTAGCTACTGCTCTCCAACATAACGGCTATTAACCAAGAGGAATATTAACTTCACTTTACTTTATCAAGATAAATTAACAAAGCAATATTTTCATAAAAACTAAAAATTCCATTTATAGTTCTATGGAGACTATGATTACCCTTTGATTGCAGTCATTTTTCTTTTCCACTAATCCTTTGGTGTTTCTGCAGTTTTGTATTCTGCTTCTCTATCAACCTATTTCTCCTGGAACATCTCAATTATTTGTCTTAGTTCAGGTTTGATCTAAGTTGTCACATTGAGGAAAGCATCTTTTTCTGGAAGTAAAACATGAATTGTTTTTATATGATAAACAGTCACTGTAAGCAACGGTTGACTTAATGTTAACAATAAGTAATAACACAACTGTTGAGGATTTAGACTTGGCAGAGTTTCCATTTGTATAAATGGCATGCACCTTGCTTCGGTGCAGTACACATACCTCACATTGCAGCTAACACTGCACCTTAGATACTGACTACTTCAGTTACAGATAATATATCACTCAAATGCCAACAAGGCAACATAACTTCATTGACATCCTTAATGATCAAACTAATGTGTGATTATAACAATAAAAAAAGGTTACAATTATAAGACATCCTAAACATATAAGAAACTCACAATGTCAAGACCAACAATGTTTTGTTATCTGCAAAGAACTAAGCAGGAGACTCTGCACAAATTTAAAACACAAAATGAAAATTAATCCAAGAAAAGAAAAGGCGACAAACCATTAAGCTTTAGAAGTTTCGCCTAGACTCAACCAATAGAATAAGAGAGAGAGAGAGAGAGAGAAAACAAACTCTGTTTGAGAATGCTATCTTTAGGTATGTATAAATGTTTGATAATCCAGCCAAACCTTCATCCTGTCATCCAATATAATCTGAGAAAGAACCAATACATCATTCTTCCACACAAAAACTGATGGATCTCTTAATCGTGCATGCATAGCTCTATCCATGGCCCTAACAGATTAGGAAAATGAACTGCCAAATCTGGAGAACAATAGTGCAATTTGATCGAACTGTTTCAGATGGTGCATTAACCAAAACAGTGAAAAGAAGCTGGAGATTTGCATCACTAGGAAGTAATATAAAGATATGTTTAGAAATTTTAACAAAAATCTTAACTAATTGATAATGCTCAAATTACCCTCAAAGTAAGTAAAAAGAGTAAGCGGTCGTCCTCAATAAAAATACCCAACAAGCGCGTTCGCAAAGGGTACTTTCCCTGCCAAAAATTGCATTTTCAGCTCTTGACCTCTTTTTGCCTCAAGTTCACTTGGTTCCTTCAAATATATCCTAAATCAACTCTCCATTTCATTTTCGTGCAAATATGAAAAAAACCACATTAAAAGCACCAATTCTAAACTAAAGCAAGCCAAAATAACTACAAAAAGAGCCTCATATGAGTGGAAATCCACTACTCATCAACACCCCTACAACTTAGAAACTTTGTTGGTCCTCAAGTAAAGAAAATTTAAAACACAAGAGGCTCTTATTTCAAGACACGCCACAAATCAAATTCCCTTTCTCAAATAAGCACAAAGTTCATGGCTTCGGTTGGTACTAACAAATAGTCCACATGCAAACTTTTCTCAAAAGAAATCCTCTCATTCTCATGAAACATTTTCAAAAATCAAGAATCATTAATTGACAACAACTCAAACTCAAGAAATGACTCAACTCATGAACTCTTTCACATGCTCACTTGACTCAATTAGGAATTTTCAAAATCACCACCTTTTCAACTTTACATGTCCTCACAAGAAAGAAGTGTCCCAAAACCCCACACACATATAAACAAGACAAGGGACAAAGAGCAACACTCACACTCACAAGGAATCATCTCATGCACACAAATGTCACACTATAGGCTTGCCCATATTTTCAATCAACATTGACTCAACTCCATTTGGTTAGAAATCTCAAAGGACTTTGTTAAGCTTGTAATATAAGCTTAGGGAAGGTTAGGATATCATTTAGGTATAAGTAACTACACTCTCCTTGAACATTATACAACAACTCATCATTTCCAACTTTCTCCACTTTTCAAACCCATGCACATTCCACACTATTTTTCATTTTTCTTTTCTTATTTCCACTCTAGATGCCCCACATGCAACCATTGTCAACTTTTGGATTTCTCCACTTTTCAAACCCATGCACATTCCACACTATTTTTCATTTTTCTTTTCTTATTTCCACTCTAGATGCCCCACATGCAACCATTGTCACTTTTTGGAGGATTCAAGTCTCATTTATTCATTTTCTTTCTTTCTTTTTCAAAGGTTTTTCTTTCTTTAAGACTTTCCATACATCCCTGAATTTCTCTCTTCTTTCCTTTTTTTTATATCAACCCCTAATGTGGTGAGCATCCCTTCAATGAATTTCCCATAACACCCCAACTTAGGCTTTTAGCGTCAACTTTCACAACCTCAAGTTCAAGGACGGAAGGGTTCAAAAGAGGGTTACTTTTTCAAAAAGGATAAGGCTTGTAATGTGGTTGCCAATAAAAAGGATTAGGCTCAAAGGGGGCAACTAAGGATATATTTAGTGCAAAGGTGGGATTTTTAGGTCAAGTGGACTTCAAGAAAATCAAAGAAAGCCTAAGATCATTTCTCCAACCAAACTCAATCAAGACCATCATTTCAAGACCAACCGGGCAAGTTCTAGGTGATAAAA